CTACACGTGAGTCTGAATGAAGAGTTATAACTGATGGAGGATCAAACTACACGTGAGTCTGAATGAAGAGTTATAACTGATGGATCAAACTACACGTGAGTCTGAATGAAGAGTTATAACTGATGGATCAAACTACACGTGAGTCTGAATGAAGAGTTATAACTGATGGAGGATCAAACTACACGTGAGTCCTGAATGAAGAGTTATAACTGATGGAGGATCAAACTACACGTGAGTCTGAATGAAGAGTTATAACTGATGGATCAAACTACACGTGAGTCTGAGTGAAGAGTTATAACTGGTGGAGGATCAAACTACCACGTGAGTCTGAGTGAAGAGTTATAACTGATGGAGGATCAAACTACACGTGAGTCTGAGTGAAGAGTTATAACTGATGGATCAAACTACACGTGAGTCTGAGTGAAGAGTTATAACTGATGGATCAAACTACACGTGAGTCTGAATGAAGAGTTATAACTGATGGATCAAACTACACGTGAGTCTGAGTGAAGAGTTATAACTGATGGATCAAACTACACGTGAGTCTGAGTGAAGAGTTATAACTGATGGATCAAACTACACGTGAGTCTGAGTGAAGAGTTATAACTGATGGAGGATCAAACTACACGTGAGTCTGAGTGAAGAGTTATAACTGATGGATCAAAACTACCCGTGAGTCTGAGTGAAGAGTTATACCTGATATGGATCAAACTACACGTGAGTCTGAATGAAGAGTTATAACTGATAGAGGATCAAACTACACGTGAGTCTGAGTGAAGAGTTATAACTGATGAGGATCAAACTACACGTGAGTCTGAGTGAAGAGTTATAACTGATGGAGATCAAACTACACGTGAGTCTGAATGAAGAGTTATAACTGATGGAGATCAAACTACACGTGAGTCTGAATGAAGAGTTATAACTGATGGAGGATCAAACTACACGTGAGTCTGAGTGAAGAGTTATAACTGATGGAGGATCAAACTACACGTGAGTCTGAGTGAAGAGTTATAACTGATGGAGGATCAAACTACACTGTGAGTCTGAGTGAAGAGTTATAACTGATGGAGGATCAAACTACACTGTGAGTCTGAGGTGAAGAGTTATAACTGATGGAGGATCAAACTACACTGTGAGTCTGAGTGAAGAGTTATAACTGATGGAGGATCAAACTACATGTGAGTCTGAGTGAAGAGTTATAACTGATGAGGATCAAACTACACAGTGAGGTCTGAATGAAGAGTTATAACTGATGGATCAAACTACACGTGAGTCTGAATTGAAGAGTTATAACTGATGGATCAAACTACAACGTGAGTCTGAATGAAGAGTTATAACTGATGGAGGATCAAACTACAACGTGAGTCTGAATGAAGAGTTATAACTGATGGAGGATCAAACTACACGTGAGTCTGAGTGAAGAGTTACAACTGATGGATCAAACTACACGTGAGTCTGAATGAAGAGTTATAACTGATGGATCAAACTACACGTGAGTCTGAATGAAGAGTTATAACTGATGGATCAAACTACACGTGAGTCTGAATGAAGAGTTATAACTGATGGAGGATCAAACTACACGTCAGTCTGAGTGAAGAGTTATAACAGATGGATCAAACTACACGTGAGTCTGAGTGAAGAGTTATAACTGATGGATCAAACTACACGTGAGTCTGAATGAAGAGTTATAACTGATGGAGGATCAAACTACACGTGAGTCTGAATGAAGAGTTATAACTGATGGAGGATCAAACTACACGTGAGTCTGAATGAAGAGTTATAACTGATGGAGGATCAAACTACACGTGAGTCTGAATGAAGAGTTATAACTGATGGATCAAACTACACGTGAGTCTGAATGAAGAGTTATAACTGATGGATCAAACTACACGTGAGTCTGAGTGAAGAGTTATAACTGATGGATCAAACTACACGTGAGTCTGAATGAAGAGTTATAACTGATGGATCAAACTACACGTGAGTCTGAGTGAAGAGTTATAACTGATGGAGGATCAAACTACACGTGAGTCTGAGTGAAGAGTTATAACTGATGGAGGATCAAACTACATGTGAGTCTGAGTGAAGAGTTATAACTGATGGAGGATCAAACTACACGTGAGTCTGAGTGAAGAGTTATAACTGATGGAGGATCAAACTACATGTGAGTCTGAGTGAAGAGTTATAACTGATGGAGGATCAAACTACACATGAGTCTGAATGAAGAGTTATAACTGATGGATCAAACTACACGTGAGTCTGAGTGAAGAGTTATAACTGATGGATCAAACTACACGTGAGTCTGAATGAAGAGTTATAACTGATGGATCAAACTACACGTGAGTCTGAATGAAGAGTTATAACTGATGGAGGATCAAACTACACGTGAGTCTGAATGAAGAGTTATAACTGATGGAGGATCAAACTACACGTGAGTCTGAGTGAAGAGTTACAACTGATGGATCAAACTACACGTGAGTCTGAATGAAGAGTTATAACTGATGGATCAAACTACACGTGAGTCTGAATGAAGAGTTATAACTGATGGATCAAACTACACGTGAGTCTGAATGAAGAGTTATAACTGATGGAGGATCAAACTACACGTCAGTCTGAGTGAAGAGTTATAACAGATGGATCAAACTACACGTGAGTCTGAGTGAAGAGTTATAACTGATGGATCAAACTACACGTGAGTCTGAATGAAGAGTTATAACTGATGGAGGATCAAACTACACGTGAGTCTGAATGAAGAGTTATAACTGATGGAGGATCAAACTACACGTGAGTCTGAATGAAGAGTTATAACTGATGGAGGATCAAACTACACGTGAGTCTGAATGAAGAGTTATAACTGATGGATCAAACTACACGTGAGTCTGAATGAAGAGTTATAACTGATGGATCAAACTACACGTGAGTCTGAGTGAAGAGTTATAACTGATGGATCAAACTACACGTGAGTCTGAATGAAGAGTTATAACTGATGGAGGATCAAACTACACGTGAGTCTGAGTGAAGAGTTATAACTGATGGATCAAACTACACGTGAGTCTGAGTGAAGAGTTATAACTGATGGATCAAACTACACGTGAGTCTGAATGAAGAGTTATAACTGATGGAGGATCAAACTACACGTGAGTCTGAATGAAGAGTTATAACTGATGGAGGATCAAACTACACGTGAGTCTGAATGAAGAGTTATAACTGATGGAGGATCAAACTACACGTGAGTCTGAATGAAGAGTTATAACTGATGGAGGATCAAACTACACGTGAGTCTGAATGAAGAGTTATAACTGATGGATCAAACTACACGTGAGTCTGAGTGAAGAGTTATAACTGATGGAGGATCAAACTACACGTGAGTCTGAGTGAAGAGTTATAACTGATGGATCAAACTACACGTGAGTCTGAATGAAGAGTTATAACTGATGGAGGATCAAACTACACGTGAGTCTGAGTGAAGAGTTATAACTGATGGATCAAACTACACGTCAGTCTGAGTGAAGAGTTATAACTGATGGATCAAACTACACGTCAGTCTGAGTGAAGAGTTATAACTGATGGAGGATCAAACTACACGTGAGTCTGAATGAAGAGTTATAACTGATGGATCAAACTACACGTGAGTCTGAATGAAGAGTTATAACTGATGGAGGATCAAACTACACGTGAGTCTGAGTGAAGAGTTATAACTGATGGATCAAACTACACGTGAGTCTGAGTGAAGAGTTATAACTGATGGAGGATCAAACTACACGTGAGTCTGAATGAAGAGTTATAACTGATGGATCAAACTACACGTGAGTCTGAGTGAAGAGTTATAACTGATGGAGGATCAAACTACACGTGAGTCTGAATGAAGAGTTATAACTGATGGATCAAACTACACGTGAGTCTGAGTGAAGAGTTATAACTGATGGAGGATCAAACTACACGTGAGTCTGAATGAAGAGTTATAACTGAT